CGTACTTTACGAAAGAAAAATAATTAAAAGCGATTCTATGTGAAGCCTCTACAAACAACACTTTTACAAACACAAAACCACTTTAGTTGTAGATTTGGGAAAAAAAATCCACAAAAACGATTTTTTTGAACTCGGTGCACCAATATTTGATCAGCCTTTCGGCGATAAAAGTTTACTTTGCTTTCGCGGGAAAACAAACAATGTTACCTAAACATAGTTTGAAACTATTTTGCTGTTGCGGTTTTTTATTCCTTCAGAAATTTTATGAGTTTTTGCTAGGTCCTAAATGGCAAACATAATTCCCATAAGTAGCTATTTTTCAGAGAGCGAGTTGTTTGCAAAACTGTGCCGCATTGTTTTAATATAGATACATGTGTGAGCACAAATTTGAATGTTGGTGCTCAAAATTCAAATTGAGTATAGTTCTCTAAGGCTTCAAAAATTACTTTTGATATTTGGATTATTAGTTGATGATTATACTTATCCTGTGCAAAATTAAAGCTAGAAAATCTACTGGTTGCTGATTGAATGGTAATCGATGAAAGATTTTAAATTGAAATTGAAAGATATCGAAATTGAAAAGATATTTTTTCACCTTACCTGGCTTCACTTCCAAACTCCACTCAGTTGGCCAGCTCTTTCAGGAAGTTCAGGTCCAATGCGAAGGAGTGCAAACGAAACCGTCTTGATTTAACCGGTCGCGGCATACGAAAAACCGCAGGTCTATTTTTGGGGTGTTTTTAGAGTATTTTTGGCGACTAACTTTACTCGTCGGCAGTGTAAGGACTTTGCAGATATCCTTTTCAGTATTTAACGTGCGCATTTTTAAAAGCCAAATTTAACAAAGCTGTATCAATTCTTAGGCATATGCAAAGCCCTCTATATAGGTAGTCTAACGACAAGCCGTAAAGTTAAAATGGCAACGCTGCATATTTCACTTCAAGTGGTCCGGTCTGGTCTGGCCGCCTGGTAGCGCGGCGAACATTAAATTTGAGATTTTAAACAGAGTATAGGTATGAAGACTATGAAGAGGATAAAAAAAAAACAACAAGAATTTTGAAAAAGTGTTTACTTCTGAAATGGACAAATAGGTATTACAGTTACACAGAAACTTCACCTATTTTTGGCATTTCAATCATTTTATGTGTAATTTACATTAGAAAAATAAAAATTTAAGTAGATATTTTTTAATATCTAGCATAACCTATAGAACTATTATCATTGATAAGTAGCAAGTTTTCTTTTCTTTAGGTTTGAATTTTAATCCCTGTGAATTTCACTATTTTTCTCCAACACACAAGTTTAATAAAAAAAAAAGTGAATTTTCTCTCCTTTAACCGAGCCTTTAACTTTAAAATCCCACTGTTCTAAACAGACTTTTGATTTAAAAATTTGAAGAAATTCCGCAAAACTCTCTATTTATCATCACTTTTTAGGAAAATCTGTGTTTCCTGAACTAGTTTGTCCCGAATTTTTTCTCTCCTTTCTTCAGGATCAACCCTAGAAGTCGCTAGAAATTTTGACAAATATTTAGGCTGGAAATTCACCCAAAACTTTATTTTTATATGTTTCGACTTTTATTATTTCAAAATGTTTTTCGCAAACTACTGAACCACTGGAAACCTCCCAATTGGCCCTGTGAAACGAGCAAATCTATTGCTGTCAAATATGTTCCTCTTTTGGAAAGGAAAATGTGGATTTCATTGTATCATGTTTTAATGCACTTGCATAATTTGAAGTAGAGCAAGGGACGCAGCAGTGTCTGGGCATCTAAAATTAACGAAATTATACCTATTTTATTAGTATTGAAACTCAAATATCAGATAAAAAGTATCAACTAACTTTTCTATGCATGTTTGTTTACTTACCCTGACTTTTTCCCTTGATTTAATATACACACACAACTCTGAAACTCATCTCGAAATATGAAGTTCCTTATTCCGTATATGACAGTACAGAATTTAAAGCTTTTTAAATTCCATTGTGTGGTTGTTTTGTGACTAAACCCTATTTATTTTTTTATTTTATTGACTTCTAATTAAAAATGCCACAAAGGTGTCTTGTAGTTGATTTTAGAAGGCGTTTCAACAAGGATGATGTCAGGTTGTTTTCAGTGCCCAACCTTTCAAATTTTTCCAATTAAAACCTGAAAATTATTCAATACCACTGTTCCTGCATCTAAAATAAAGCCATACTCGAAATACTTGTAAGAATCTAAGCTTTTGTAGGCCTTCATTGGCTCATTGCTGTAAAAACTAGGTCAAAATGTAAACAAACGTCAACTAAACATTTTTTCAAACTTATCGTTTGCCCACATTCCGATTTTCCTGCATTGAAGTCTTTGAATATTCACTCTGTATCTCAAAAAGTATATTATAACAAAATAAACTATAATTAGCTCGAAAATATTCCAAATAATTTCAAGATAAACAAACAAACGTCAAATTTTCCTCAATCGCCATATTGAAAAATCACGTGGTTTGGAGAGCCTAATAGGCCTAATAGGCTCTCCAAACCACGTGATTTTCTCAATATGGCGAGTGTGGGAAATTTGACGTCATCCTTGTTGAAACGCCTTCTAAAATCAACTACAAGACACATTTGTGGCATTTTTAATTAGAAGAAACACTAATGAAATCAATAAAATAAAAAAATAAACAGAGTTCATTCACAAAACAACCACAAAATGCACTTTCAAAAGCTTTAGATTCCATACTCTCATATACGGGATAATGAACTTCCGCCCACAACGAACTTTTTGACAGGTCGTTGAAATCCCTTATAGAAAAAAAAATCCTATCAAAGATATGACGTCATTGATCTTTTTTTTAAATGGGAACGCCATCTTTTTTTTCATTTTGGGACATTTTTGAAAAAAACCAGATGTCAAATTTTTGACTTAACGCTTCCTAGAATCGTGAAAAATTATCCGTAATTTTGAAGCTCTCGTGGTATTATCCTCGAAAAATGATATTAAAACCTGAAAAAATGTCAAGATTTATTAAAATGAATGTATGGTTTGGAATGACAATTAATGACAACGACAACCATTAATTAGGTACAGTTTATTTTTTCCCAAGATAGATTTTGACATTGTCAACTTTGGATCATAAACAATGCCGCTAATGCCGCTTATTGGTCGCTATTGTAAAACTGATGTCAACCTGCAGAAACACCTCATTTTGCGACTAATCAGAGTCAAGCGTTATTGTTTATGTTTCAAAGTTTTCAATGTCAAAATCTATCTTGGGAAAAAATAAAGTGTAGTTATTTATCTAGGAAGCGTTATGTCAAAAATTTGACATCTAGTTTCTTATTGGCATACGTTCAAATCAGAAATTTCTAATAATTGTAGAATGATTAATTCGTGCTGAACACTTGTTATATTTTATTTGACGTTATCTACATGTACCTACTCCTGACAAATCAATAAATAAAAAGTTGACATTTAGACTTTACCTTTCATGAGTTGTTGATGTTGTCATGGTTGTCATGATAACTTTAAAACACGCGCGTTTTTGAATGTTGGATTTAAACACGCTGAGGAGTACTTTCAGTAAAATAGGTTATCAATTTAAAAAAAAAAACTAATCAATTTCCATTCCCAAATAGGATTTGACATCCTAAATACCCAATTAAGCCCGGAATAACAGAAGCTCTGGAACACCAAGATACAAATGCAGGACCTGCAAGTCTGACTTTTCGTATTACAGAAGCAGAATACACTTGCAGATCGCCTGCAAATTTGCGCATGGTAAAACGGTCCCGTATAGGTCCTTGCAATCACTTTGACAACTTTGACATTTAAAACTGGTAAATCAGTAGCGCCCAAACACTTTTTTTCCATAAATATAACGGAATTGCAGATTTTTTTCTGTAATTTGCTTGTTCCTGCAAATAGAGCACATATGCAAGTCAGCCATAATTTTTGCAGAACTGCAAATTTGCAGATGCAAATTTACTGTAATTGGGCTCTTAGAGCCAAATTACAGTATATTTGCATCTGTAAATTTGCAATATGGCCGACGCATGTGTGCTCTATTTGCAGAAATAAGCAAATTACAGAAAAAATCTGGAATTTCGTCATATTTATCGAAAAAAGTGTTTGGACGCTACTGATTTACCATATTCAAATGTCAAAGTTGTCAAAGTGATTGCAAGGAGTTGCGGGACCATTTCACCATACGCAAATTTGCAGGCGACTTGCAAATGCGCTCTGCTTCTGTAAAACGAAAAGTCAGACTTGCAGGTCCTGCATTTGTATCTTAGTGTTGCAGAGCTTCTGTAATTCCGTGCTTAACCTACAACTATATTATATAGCACGCGTAGACGAAACTAAACATACCCTTTTGCAAAATATTAAAAAAATAAATTCTTCTTTATTCCAAAACCTTGACATACAAGGACTATACGTATTATTTTCCAAAATATGTAATATTTTAGGTCAATATGTCGTGCAAGACGGATCAAGTCCCACTAAAACCGATAAAATCGCAAACATCAAAGGAAAAATACACACTTCCTTCGCATGCAAAAATCAAATTTAAATTCCTAATGTGGTAAATTATAGTATGAAGTTAATTAGGTATTAAAGTCAATCATCATCAAATTTACTCATAAATATATAAATTTTTCTGCCATCAGAATATTAAATAAACTAGGAAATTTATATTACAATTTTATTGAACTATGCATACCTAAACCTAAAACATGTCAGTTCTTTCGTGCCAAATAGGAGCAAATTAATATTTCAAGCCTTGTAAAGAGAACAAAAGCTAAAATATGCTTATGCAAAGTGAACGTGCCCTATCTTTTTGCAGCATCATTATTTTAACTATACATTTTAGCATACTGCACAGATGTACAAGTGAGCGGAGTGGCTAAATATGTGTAAGGGTTGAGTTTGATGGATTTTATTTTGTATTATAGCTTCATAAAAAAATAAATCTTCCCCCCCTGAAACCATAATTCACACAAAAACATCCATATTTCTTTTTCAGTGCCGATTTCATTGAACGTTACGGAGGAAGACACTTTGGATTTGCAGGAAAACGAGGTTATCATCACGTCGAACGGCGATAAAATGCTCCAGGCCTTCGAAACAAGTAAGTAGTTTTAAAATTTCCACGATTTTTCGGGGTGAATTATTGCGGCAGTTTGGGGTTAACGATATGTAAAAGTTGAAGTATTGGATCGAATACAATGCATGCTTGTTTTGTTAATGAACCCTTTAGCAAGCAGTGTTAATATTTCGAGTGTTGAAAAATTGCAAATTGGAAGACCTCCAGGGGGGAACCCACTCGGCAAACAAAAATAATTTAGCAGCCGGTGGTTTTCGTCCAATTTTAATGGGAAAACTTTTTTGGATAGGCATTTTCTCCCACTCTGGCTGGTTTTTAATTTGGAACATTATTCCGATCGGCGCCATTAAATTTCGAGTCCCCTTTTGTCACCCAAATAAATCCCAATTTTTTTCGAGCTGAGAACAATTTAAAGATTGCCATTCAGGGCCCAGCAAAAACATAGGTAATAGGGTTTTTATTATCCTCACCTGACATATTGCCAACTACTTAAGTAAATTACACTCTGTACATCAATTTTACTAAAGTGTGTCGACGAGTCAGCATTTATTTGGTATAAATACCGAAATCCATTACCGGCAGACTAAGGCTAGTGCAAAGTACCTCAAATGGGAAAAGCCTCTCTAGCTAAGTCTCCTCCCAGTGCAAACTACCTTTAATGGGAAACGCCCTTCTGGACCTGTCTCAAACCCAGCTTCTGTCTTCAGTCTCGCCAAGTGTACAGAGGACACATAATACAGAGTGGCCTATAAGTAGTACGTCCCTCCGTAGAAGAGACGTCATAATACTATTTCTAGGGTAATATTATTATTATTAAATACATTATTTTATCATACCTATACCATACCAAGAGAGTTTCTCTCTACCTAAACCCCACATTTGCCCCCAGGTCACGCTCCTGTTGTGACGTCCTAGGACGAAACGTATAGGGGTTGTGACAATATTATAATATTTATAATTGTTCTGATTCTAAATGAGAAATGTGGCCTATAACTCACTGCCTGTACCTACTACTGCTTTTGTTAGCTATTCAAGATTTTTTCTAATTAAGTTAAAATCGCTCATAAATTTCTCGAAGGAAAAATCAAATATTTCGTTTTAAACTTTTACCAATCTCGACATATTTTACCTAAACAAAATATCGCTGCTGGGAAATATCCGTAAGCCGATTTGCATCGGCCGCGTAATCCTGGCAAGCCTTATCGGAAACAAACACACGGGGCGCTTTTGTACGACGTCGTCGACGCTCATCGAGTGACTGCTCAAATTAAAATTTCTCTTTAGAAAAAACTTTTGCCATTAAAATTCTATATACGTTAATGAAGGTTTTGGATGTTGTATGTCTTAGTGATTTTAACATATTTTATCCCATAATGTGTTACAAAATAATTGAAATTTGTTACTTTAAGAAAAGATAACCTAGGGCAATATTGCCAGAGGTGGTACAATTGTACCAAATTTGGTACCATTCGCTTTGAAAAAGTACGCTGTTACGACGTTGGCATATTTGGTACAATTTTCAATTAATTTTTTTCCAAATTCTCAAAGAGTCTTAGCCTACTGCCTACAGTCTAATGTTGATGTTCTAATTAATTTGTATTTCTGTATCTGAATTCGATATAACAATAATTTTTGATTCGTAAATAGATGGCGTCACCTCTGTAACACTCGTTTTATGGTTCTTGGTTGTACGCAGTTTGTGTTTAGTTTAGGATTTCTCCATTCATCCAATCAAAACAAAACGTGCTTTTATTCTACTGGATCAAAAATAATCCTCATTTTCAGGAAACGCATGCGCATTATAGGCTTGGGATGACAATACGTACAGTATTTCGCTAAATTGTACAGCATTTTGAAGGTCTGTCCAGCATTTGATTTTGTACAGCAAATGTAGGTACAGCGATTCGGATCATAATTAAGTTGTTCTTGAAAATTGTACGAGAAATTGACCGCTTAAAAGAAGTCACTGAAGACACAACATATTAGACAATCAGGAACGATTTCGCAGTAATTGTAGGTTGCACTTTGTGACTTTTGCGTTATTTTTGGTATTGAGTAAGAATAAGAATAATTTATTCAATAAATACCTACTATTCTACTACAATTTTATTTTATTTTATTTTTTTTCTACTTAATAAAAAAATGAATAAATTAAAATGCCGGCTAAAGTTTATTTAAATAAAGCTTGTGCGGCAATATGCTTAGATTTTTAGTTTACAGAACATTATTTATGGTTAACTGTTCAGTTATTCAACAATTCTTCAATTAAATCTAGATTAATTGTTAAAACGAGCTATAAAGTTGACAAAATTTGTCCAAAAAAACTTATTTTGGTCGAGGCACTGCTTTCTCCACTCACCTTTCCCAACATTTTAGATGTGTACAGCATTCATACAAAAAAAGTAGTGATGAGCGATATATCACGAACTGTGATTTTATCACTGATATCTAAAAATCACGGATCACACTGCTACCAAAGTTCTATAAAAAGCGTGACGTGATCACGACAACGAATTTCTTGTCTATTAGAGTAGGTATCTAACCTTATCCACATAAACCAGCGCTGTATGGGCGGGCCTTTAGTTCCGAACTAAGGGATTTCGACCCTTACCAGTTTAATGGTACTTTTGTTATCAATTTTTTAAATATTTAAGTGGGTACTGGTACTACTTTATCAAATATTTGCTTTGTTTGGTTTTCATCGTAATTTGATAATTTTGCGTTCTAAATGGCATCCTACTTTATCTCACCCATTTGAGGTTTTTGCAAACATATACTACTTTATTGTTGTCTTGGTCTTACTCACATATAATTAACAATTAAACATTTTTTCATTAAAATTAAACTAAAAACAAATTTCCAAGACCTTATTTGGGAAATTTATTGCTTTATAATCGTTATTATTTAATTATTCAACAGGTTTTAATTAAATAAAACCATTCAAAATGTCATTAATGTCATGTGGCAACGTCGCTTTTAGTCGTTTTGCAGTGACGTGTTTACGTTTTTACCCAGTTTTTCCTTGGATTTTCCATTTTTCCAGGGCGTTTTAAGTCGGAAAAACTGGTTTAAAGTACGAGGCTTTGAGTTTTTTTTATTTTGTGCAAAAAATTTCCAGTTTTCCAATAGGGTAAGTGACAAAAACTCAAGTCTTATCAAGTAGGTGCTAGAATGTTCTTTTTAGAGGTTTTTCTTTGGATTTTCCGCTTTTCTAAAGCTTCTTCAATTAGGAAAACCTATTTTAAATATGAGGCTTTAAGTTTTTTCCATTTTGTACCAAAAATTTCCAGTTTTCCAATGGAGTAAATGACTAAAACTTAAGTTTCATCAAGTAAGCTTTGGAATGTCCTTTTCAGAGGTTTTTCTTTGAATTTTTTAGAGCTTTTTCGGTTGGGAAAACCGATTTTAAGTACGAGGTTTTTAGTTTTCTTCATTTTCTAGCACAAATTTATATTTTTAAACGCAATATTTAGAAAAATCCCATTTAAATGCTTTTTCTGGAAGTTTTGATGTGGCAACATCGTTTGTAGCCAACTTCAATCATGTAAACCTTGTAATAAATGTCATTTGTCAATTTGGAAAGTCGACCATTTTGAGTGTTTTTATCCATGTTTTTCCTCAAAATTTCCGCTTTTTCAGGCCGTTTTAAAACGGAAAAAATGGTTTAAAGTACGAAGTACGAGGCTTTGAGTTTCCTTCATTTTGTGCCAAAAATTTTCAGTTTTCGAATAGGTTAAGTAACAAAAACTCAAATTTCATCAAGTAGACTTTAGAATGTCCTTTTTTTCTTTGGATTTTCCGCTTTTCCAGGCCGGGGGTTCTTTCTGTTATCAATAAAACTAGTCACAAACGATGAGTGTTGTATTAAAAATATCACAGTTAAGATTATTGTCAGGCTTAATTTAAAGGGCACATTGGATGAGGCGCGTGGCTTGTCTTTGGGCTGTTCTCTAGTGGACTGGTTCTTCCAGTCGCTGTGTCATGGAACTTCATACTTTGTTCCTTTCCGGAAGTAGACGGCGCTGATAGGCGGTTGCTAAGTTGGTTGCCTATACGTATATAACAATAAGGTAAAACAATAAGAAATTAAATCTTTGGATTCTCCCCCAAATAGACAAAATTTTCCTTTCAAATTAAGATAGTTACTATAGATATTACAAGATAAACCTGACGGTGAAATCAATCAAATCCAGAATATGTCAAAATTCTTGAGATGTTTTAATTAAAACTTTTTAACTGAATTTTTTACCTGTCTAGATTTCTATTTAAAAAAATACACCCTTTAGTCGAGATAATAAATGACGGAATCAAACAGGAAATAGCTATGCCGGCCTCTGCCTGGATTCAATAAAGAGTTGATAGGGATGGACACACAAATTTGGTTTTCACCGACTCTATTTAGAGCAAATGGTCCAAAGTATGTAGTATATAGGCGTTCTGGATCAAAACAGAGACGAGACAAAGAGACACTCTCCCTACCACTCAAGATACAACCATTCCTCTACCGCACCCTGTATTCTCTTAGCGCGCCTTGTATCCCCCTACCCGGTCACTCGAGATTCTACACACAACCATCCTCCTACCGCACCCTGTATCCCCCTATCGCACCTTCTATCCTTCTACCTCTCAACATACTACACAGCTGGTTTTCGCTGTTCTGAATTTTGCTGGTTTAGCTGGTTTTCACCTAACTTGGAAGGGGGATTGCTCGAGATCGAAACTAGGAGGGTAATTACAGGAAAATTGCGGTGGACGTATACTTGATGTATTTTTTTGAGAGCGCGATAGGGAAATACTGGGCTGGGGTAGATGGTTGTATGTAGAATCTTTAGTAACCCGGTAAGGGGATACAGGACGTGGTAGGAGAATACAGGGTGCGGTAGGGGAATAGTTGTATCTTTAGTGGTAGGGGGATACAGGGCGCGGTAAGGGGATACAGGGCGCGGTTAGGGTGGCTGTATGTATCTCTTTCGACCGTAGCTGGGATGGGGGATCCACAGAGGGTGCGGTAGGGGGATAGTTGT